CTTGGGGGGATAACCCCATCAGAGGTAATGGCTGGGGTCAATGTCACCCTGTCCTCTGTCTGAACTGCACAGAGGGTCTCAGGAGAATGGCAGACAGGAGAACCAATGGACTGAGGAAATTGTGGTCAGCGGCTTTGAACATTTATACCAATTGTAAAGGGGGTATACATTTAACAATACAATTCAGTTTTTGTTTTTTTTTAATCTTTGTTACCCTCTGGCCTGCAAAGCCAGAATGATTAAACTCTCTTTGGCTGTTGTGGAGGAGAAAAGACTGGCCTATTGTAGACTGAAAAATTCTGTTTTTTCTTAGTAAAGCACCTTATTTATAAACACATTTATCAGGTGCTTTACATAGGAAAAGCAGAATATTTCAGTCCAAAATATGCCAGTCCTTTCTCCTCTACAACAGCCATAAAGCACCCCAATTGTAAGGTGGTGGATTAAAAAAATTAACCCCGCTCAGCCTTCAAATCGAGTGTAGGCAAGGGTAAGAAGAATACATATTAAGTTGTCGGAAAAAGGCAGAAAATAGGAAATTGTTAATTCAGCCTTCCAGCAGTTTTCTTGATAGACCAGCATTGCTGGATTCTTTCTCTCCCTGAAATGTTTCTGTTCCAGATGACTGTTGAAGTTGAAATGTAGTGCCAAAGTTTTTTTTTCTTTTTCCTCCCCCCTCCAGATCCCTTTTCCTTTAATGTTGTGTCCTTTAAATTAGGATGGGCTATTGGAAGGTCAGCTCATCCTGGGGAAAGTAGATCTGCTGGGATCTATGCCCCTTTGCTGGGGAAACAGGCACGCTTTCTAAACAGGAGAAACAGCCTCCACCAGACCGTCACCGTCCCTCCTCCCAGCCACAGAGAAACAGTTCTTCCCCATTTTATAAGCCTTCCTTTGCTTTAAAAGAGTCTCCTTTAATGACCAATTATGCAAAGGATCTGCAAGCTCTAGTAATCAAAGCCAAGGAGCACAGTGAAAAAAAAATAGAAGATTAAATATAAAGAAGACCAAACTATTGACAACAGGTGGAACCACCAGCCTAAGGACTGACAATGAAGATGCTGAAGTGGTGGACGGCTTCTGCCTTTTGGGATCGACTATTGACAGAAAAGTCAAACTAGTCTTTATTAGGAAATGAGAGTTTCTTATTCTGCTCTCTCTTGTGACAAGGGCTTTCAGAAGGACTCGGGTTCAAGTTGCCAACCCCATCACGGAGATCCCAAGAAATGTTGTTCCAGAGGGCAGAGAATCAGGGGTTAAAGGAAGACATTGACCAAAAGGAAAGGCAGTTTCTAGGATCTCTGAAAACAGAATTCTTTTAATATACTGCAGTTTTGCATTATTTCTTTTTTAAAAAAACAATGATCTGGTTTGCAACTTTCAAAGCCAAGTAAACTATTTAAACACCATAAAGTAGACACTGTAACAGCTACCTTTCCCTGTTCCTGACAATCAAAATGCAACAACTTTCCATGATGCTCAAAATCCAGGACTTGATGGAGCTACACTACTCTCTCTAGTTACGGCATACAGGTAGTCCTTGACTTATGACCATTTGCTTAACAACTGTTAGAAGTTACAACGGCACTGAAAATAGTGACTTATGACCAATCTTCACACTTACAACCATTGCAGTGTCCCCATGGTCATGTGATCACAATTCGGGCACTTGAAAAGTGGCATGTATTTACGACTGTTGCAGTGCCCCAGGGTCATGTGATTGCCATTTGTGACCTTCCCAGGGGGTTTCCAACAAGCAAAGTCAATGGGGGAAGCTGGATTTGTTTAATGACATGATTCACTTAACAACCATGGTGATTCACTTAATGACCATGGCAAAAAGGTTGTAAAATTGGGCACAGCTCACTTAATGACCACATTGCTTAGTGACAGAAGTTCTGGTCCCAACTGTAGTCATAAGTCGAAGACTACCTGTATGCGCTCTGTATCTCTAGAAGCTGCAGTTCAGAACAGTTCAGCAAATTGCAATCTTTCTAATATCACAGAGATCCATCATAACTCAGTCAGGATGTATTTTTTTTAATTATTAAAAAGTTAAATTTGTTATTTCCCAACGAGCAAGGAACGTGCTTGGTTTTGCAGTTAGTCTAAGCATCAAACCTGGGGGGGGGGGAATGATAAAATGATGTCATGTTGCTCTCATGACAGAACCACCAGAAGGTATATTTACAGGGCTGTTCTCAGAGTGTGGTCAAAAAGTCAAGGTGGTGATCCCAGCGGCACAGTTAAAGCTCTGCCTGTTTTTTATGAGTGTTGTGTGTCTCACACTCATAAAAAACAGGCAGAGTTCAACTGCACTGTCATAGCCACCCACTTAACTTTTTTGACCATCCTCTGCAGATCCCCCCCCCCGTGTTGACAGCATATCACTGAATAATTCAGTCTTCAAGCATTTTGTGGCTGGGATGCAGAATAGTTGATCTTCAATGGATTATCTGCGTTTCCAATTCTTTCTGCTGCGTTACCTTCCTCCTTCCCCAAATTTTAATTCGTGGTTGGCATTTTGCTAAAAAAAAAAAAAAGCAGGTGAACAATAACATGGGGGGAGAGCAGACTCCTTGTTTTGAAATGTTTCTTTTTTGTATATAACTATGTTCAAAGTGTTTTCAAAGTGACCTGGCTTCCAACATTTAGTCTTTTACCACATATTCTGCAGACAACCTAGGGAAATTCACAAATACGTGTTTTTTTAAAAAAAAGGAAAGGTGGGTTAGACTTGATTATAACTCAGACTTGTGCCTGCTCAGGAAACCCTTCAGAAATGTGGACAAGGGTTTTTTATACCACGGATGTCTTGACTCTGTCCAGTTATTACAGCAGTGAAGAACACCAGTCTTATTTGTCACCTTACTTGTCATCTTTTCAAAAGAGAAATTTATGAAATGAATGTAGCTCACTTTCTTATAGACCAATGTTTCTCAACCTTGGCAACTTTTAGATGCGTTGGATTTTAAACCCCAAAATTCCCCCCCCAACCCGGCTGGTTGGGGGGTTTTGTGGGTTTGG